GAGAATTTCATGCCCTAACAGGTGAAGGAGGAGGGTCCTTTGTCAGGTAAAATCAGACATGAATGAATACCTGAGTCCGGTGTCCTTCAAAGGATAAAAGTACTTCATTTAGATAGAGAAATAAATTTATGAGATAAGAAGAGCCACTTCAAGAGATGTACGGTGTGCAGCTGAGTGATGATGAAAAAATGTGATTTTCTCTTGAAAACTTCTAAGAAGGTAGATTTTGAGTTTTCTCATCACACACACACAAAAAAAGAAAGATAAAAACGTGAGGTAATGCCCTGCCACAGTGTATCATATTTCAAACAATAGATTATGCATGATAAATGTATATTTTATGTGTCAATTAAAAATAAATATATAAGTAAAACCTGAAATGCATTCAGAACCTGAAAAAGCACATCTCCCTCCTCATTTCCAAAGATATGCTACACGGTTAGAGCATCTGTTATAATTACAGGCCATAATTTCCAGGCGCGTGGAGTGTCTTCACTTTGGAGAGATCGTCTCCTGACCTTGTAGATGAAAGACAACCCTCACTTTGAGTCTCTCAGTCCGGAAAGACCTCCGCAGCACTGACCAGAATGCTGAAGGGAGGAAAGAGTGTCAGGACTTTGGTTTAACAGATAAAGGAATAAGGGACAAGAAGGAAGGAGAGATACAGAGTTGGGAACTGAGAAGTGAGTACCGCCAGCATGTAGGTAGGTGAACACTGCATCCAAGAGGCTCAGCAAAACGTTACTGGGCCCCGGGGATGCAGTTGGGGCTCAGGATGCTCAGACCAGGGAAGTATGAGTGTCAAACACAGTCCTCAGCCAAGAAGAAGGGCTTCCTAAGTGCTAGGTACGTAACACCCAGGAATTTGCTTAATCCTCCTAGATTTAGGTGTCCATATTATCCCCATTATATTTACCATCAAAGAATTGGTGCTTAACTAGTTTGGTAAATTTCCTCAGGGTCACATAGCTTTTTTGCTGTTGTGACTAAAAAACCCAACAAGAACAATTTTACAGGAGGAAAGTTTATTTGATGGCTCACAGTTTCAGAGATCCATTGACAGCTGGCTTCATTCCTCTGGGCTTGAAGTGAGGCTGAACATCATGGTGGAAGATTATGGCAGAAGGAAGCAGCTCACAGGATCATTAGGAAGTCCAGAGAGAGACTCCACTGTCCAGATGCAAAATATATAACCCAATGACCCACCTCCTCCAGCCTACAGTAACCACTCAGTTAATCCCCACCCAAGGAATAATTCACTCATTGGGTTAAGACTCTCACAACCCAATCATTTCTCCTCTAAGTCTTTTTGCATTGTCTCACACAGGAGCTTTTGGGGGACAACTACATCCAAATCATAACAGGTAATAAATGTTGGGTGCAAAAGACTCTGAACAATTCATCTTGTCCCATCACTGAAGTTGGAAACCTTCATCAGGAAAGAAGCTGGTGGAGGCAGAATCAGGGTGAAGGCTGGATTTGAGCTCAGGAGACCCTGGGACTGAGTCAAAAGTACAGAACAGAACTGGCTGCGAGAAATGCTGGCTGAGGCCCCTGAGATGCGTTTTTTAGGCCCACTTACTTAGGACTTGTAAGGACTTAGGAATGACCCTTCTCAGAACCTGGAGCAGGAAAGATTGCATGTGAGATCAAATGCCCTCAGCTCCAGGGACTGGGGAAGCTCACGGGCAGAGAAATCTGGGCAACTCATGTTGCGAAATGTCAATCCATCTGTGCCCAACCCAAAAGTCTATCAAGACAAACAGAGAAGGAGGGAGCACTGGAAAATGGGGTGAAAAGACATCTTTCCCAGAAACTCAAAGCAAAGGTTCAATGAAAATGGTTTCCCATCCACAGAGAATTTCAAATGAAAGTAATGAAGTTTTGTTTAATTGGAGATATTTCAGATCATTAGGGTAATGGTTGATTCTGGATCTCTTATTTTTAAGAGAATTCACAGTAATGGTGAAGGAACAAAAGTAGAAGATTATACAATAAAAATAACAGAAGAAGAAACTATTAAATATACAAACTTCCATATTCTAAGCCTTTATTGAGCACCAACTATATTCCCTTTTCTGTAATATAGAGGTGCTGAGATAAATAAAACCTTTTTCTGGTTCTTTTCACAACTTGTTATTCCAAATATATTATTTAGGATTTTTGCAAACCAAATGATACCTTTACCATAATCATTAAGACCTAAGTTTTGAAATACAGACTTCATGTTTTGAAAAACATGACTTCACTCCAAGCGGCTGACACTCTTGCCTGACAAAATGGGACACCATAGATTCACATAATACAGACAGGGCCTTGCTCTGTGATGCCCAGAGGGTGGGACTATGTTCTGCTTACAGAATTTATGAGGATATAGATTTAATATCTGTATTAGAAGGACATTTTTACCATTAGTGTCTCAAACAACAGACACAAAATATTGAAGATTGAGAACTTTCACCCAGTGAATTTGGATAATCGGCTTAAAGGATTTACAGAAGGCTTTTTCAAAATCGTAAGGCAGTTGAACTAGATAGTGCTGGAGTTCTCCTTTAGCACTGTGAGATGTTAAATGGTTCTACCTTACATTATTTTTCATTAACTAGTACACAGCATTTTCTCCAACATTTTGAGATGAATATCAATGAAAGTCTGTCTAAGATTAAGAGTAAACCGCTTCAGAAAGGCTTCGTCGTCTCATTAATGTCAAGACATTTGAATCTTCTAATTAAAAAAAATTTGAATTATGAGACATATCAGCCATGACAACAGGAAAATTGTCCCAATTGATGTTTTGATGCTATGTGGGTTTGGGTTCATTCTATTGACTTTTGTAATTTTAGCTAACTTATTTTCATTTGTATTTTGTAATTCTCTGTATAGCTAAAACTAAAAGCAAACAAAAAGCACTTTGGATTGGATAGTGGATTTTCTGATCGATCATTAAAGAAAAACTAGGGTACATTCCTGGGAAGTCTCCAAGGACAGTAGGTGTTTCTGGACCAGTGACTCTCAGAGTTCAAGGTTCTACTGATCCCTCTGTGATGCGGGTGGTGTGGCCTTTTGAAGAAGAACCAGATTCAGATATTTGAACATCTGCATCCTGTGAGGCCCTTTTTCTGATTCTTCTCACAACTTGTTATTCCAAATATATGATTTAGGATTTCTGCAAACCAAATGATGCCTTTACCATCATCATGAAGACCTGATTGGTCTGTGAAATACAGACCAACTTTGAATTTCGTCTCCACCATTTATCTATGCAAACTCAGACTCCAAAAAAAAAAAATGAGGTCATTACGAGAAGTAAATCAGATAGCATTATAAAATAATCAATGTCCTGTCTGTGTCTGTCGTTTTCACCTAAAGGTTAAGCACTGGGACAAAATGGAAACCTCTACCCTGGCTGACTTGGAGCAGAGACAGTGACAATTGTGGGTGAGACCACTGTGCACTTTAGCACACTTTAAAGCACATGCTTGCATATAGCAGAATTTAAAAGATCAGAATGTGAAATGACTGCTCTGTCCTTCTTATAGACTGTGTACACATAGCAGAATGTCCCTGGCCTCGACTCTTTTTTATCACCATGGCCCTTCAAGCCAGCCCATCCTAACATGCCATCATCCCTGACATTGGCTGCAGACACAGTGCTCATCAGAGGATGAGGCCAGGGATGCCTTATGAATGTCAAAAAGCTAAAAGCTGGTGATTGCTGGCCAGAACACCAGAGCAGAAGCAGAGCTGGGCTGCTGTAAATAGCCAAAACTCCCTTGGATATCGCAACTGTATTCCACCTTCCTCATGACAGAATTGCAATTGGCTTCTATTTTCTTCAACTGGAGAACCAGACCTGTGTTCCTTGGAACTGAGCCATCTGAGATATTACCCTGAGCCTGGCTATTAAACCACTTTTGCTCTCTATCAGAGTCTCCTTCCTCTCTAAAAAGGAGCTAATAAAAATGGTGTCCATTGAGTTTGTGCTCCCTGTGTGCCAGGTATCATATCAAGAGAGATTAAATAATATCTAAGAGACTGATTCTATTAAAGGCTGTTGCCAAGGAGGCAGAAAGAAGCTAAGTAACTGGGAAAGGTCACACTGCTCACGAGTGGCCCTTTCTGAAAGTTTCTGCACTTTCAGAAACTTTCAGAACTGGGAACATTGCTCCTAACTTCTTCTCAAGTTTATTCCAAGGCTCATTGGAAATAAAAGCAGGACAAAAAGGGTCTTTTCAAAGGAAACAATTGCAGTTTTTCATAAGTGGGGCATTTAAGGTTAACCTTGGCCATGCAATTACATAGAACTTAGAACTTTCAGAAACAAATTGGATTCCTCCCACCTGTGCCACCTCTGGTGAAATGGAAACCTGAAGAAGGCGGCGGCTGGTGGCCAGTGCCATTTGCTCCTAAGCAACAGTCAAAGTTACAAGGTGAGAAGCTTATGGCTTTAATGAAGCTACCTTTCAGCAGGTGTTTTTACCAAGCATCTTTTTAGTATTTCTCTTGGTAGTTTTAGTTATAAAGATGCACTTAATTACAAATCCATGGAAGCTCACTTCACCATACAGTTTTAAATTCTCAATGCCCTTGGTTGTCACTTTGCAGAAATGGAAGAGCGACCCGACCCGGGCACGCAAGGAGACAGGAGACTGAGGCTCCACCAAGCCCACGCTGCCCTATGTCAGTCAGTCCTTCAGGTCCATCTGGCTAAGTCCTCATCCTTGCATCTCTTTCTCTGAACATTCATTCCCTAAACGGGTCAATCAGTGAACTCTCCTATTTAATCTGTTTGTTTCAGCTCCCTGGAGATGACACAAGAGAAAGAAAAACTTTCCCAGTCTGTGCAGCTATAAAGCATGACTACAGAGCCCAAGGAAGCTCCATAAACCTGCCTCTTAGCAGCACATCCACAGAAAGACCCAGCTCAAGAGAGCCCGTGAGTAATTAGTTCAGGATCGGCTGTCTTTGTGCTCCTCGCTCAGTCTTACCTTAGTGACAGATAACGAGCTTCGGATCCAAGCCCCGCGTCCTTTTCATCGTGTAAGAGCAGCGCAGCTCGGGGGGCTGGGGGTTCTTTTAGTACCCCCTCTGAAGCTGTCAGCACCTACCACCATGGAGATGAGAAACCGCACAGGAGAATCTCGCTCTTCTTTGCCTTTCCGGACACATTCACGGACAGACAAAGGCCACTGAGTTCTCGGCTTCACTCCAGTGAATCGACACTTTCTTTAACTGGTTCCCATGCCTACTCACACTAGGTAGGCTTGCCAATGGTGGCTGACGGCAATGAGGATTAGGGAGCACTCTCCTTCCTCCACACCTCTTTGTCTCTTGATCACACCTCTGTGAGCCTGTTCAATAGCAAGAATCTCCCACAAGAATCTCCAAGTGGCCACAAATCGCCCTTAGACTTTCAACGACCCAGAAAGCTGGATCTTTTGCAAATACCTCCAGGGCTCGGGTGCTGCTTCCAAACTTGTGTTCTTCTTAAGTTTAGGTGCTCTGTTACTGATACAGTAAAGATTTTTCTGTGCAAACACACACCCTGTCTGACAATGTAATCTTACCCCGAAGGTAAACAGCATCTTGCCCAACGGTGTTTCATTTGGGTTCCAAGGAAATGTGTGACCCTAGAAAGATTGTCAACCTCCATAGTGATTCCAAGGGCAAGGTTTAGATGTTCTTGAGAAACTGATTTTGTTTTGCAGCTTGTTTGCTTACTTCCTCTGAGTTTGAGATGAGAGAGAGAGAGAGAGAGAATACATTACTCCTCCAATATCCATTCTTTATGTACTTAGAAGGTCTTGCAGTTTGGAATGAACTAGACATGAAAATGTTGACATTTTTAAGGACCTGGGTGAATGTTGGTGCCATTTACCAAGACAGTGGGAAAGGGAGGAATTTGGAGCAGAAGATTCATTAATTGATATGTTGCAGTAGTACCTTTGGTAGGGATTCTGAAAACCAAATGAAAACATCGAGTTGACATCATATTAATCTGGGCTTCAGGGGAGAATCCCAGAATGAAGGTATGTGATTGCAAATTTTCAGTTACCTGTATGGAATTTGGAACCATGAACATAGAGGAGTTTATACAATAACTAAAGCCTGGAGCAGCCCAGGTTGAGGTTGGAAAGATGAGACTGAGAGGGAGAATCGCTTAGTCAAAGGCAAACGATGAGAAGAAACGTGAAATAAAGTGGAGTTGTACCAAAAAAGGAGTAATCACTGGATGTTGAATACTAGGGTTAGTAGAAGAGAGAACCAAGACCTAACCATTTGATTTGGCAATGTGATGTTACTGGTGACCTTGATGAAAGATGTCACAACGGAGTTTGGGAAATGAATGACTAATTAGGCTAAGGACAAATGAATAGTATAGAAGGAAGGGAATAGAGCAGGCATCCAACATGCAGGGAGTTCTGATGATACATGAAGTAGAAAACTGGCAGAGGGAAAGGATGGGAGGATCCAAGGAAGCTTATTTTTCAGGGAAAGTGTTACTTGTTTTGAATTAACATAAGATGTTATGGTGGGTCACACAAGGTGTTGCAAGCTGATTAACTTTTTAATGAAGTAAATGTCCTGAGATTACTCCTGTGTGTTTTTTTCTATTAAAAATAAGTACTTTGGGTAAACACACAGAGGGATCCCTTTTTAGTCTCCTGGTTTTGTTGCAAAATCATGGGGAAAGAGTAGACACTGTTATTGGAACAACTTCTAATGCTCTTTGGGCATGTGATGCCACTAACCACCATATTCGAATAATTCTGTGAAGAATGAATAATTCAATCGATGATTTTCTATTTTTCCCCGTTTTTTTTCCCATACCATGAAAAAATATCCTCTTAAATAAAACATTGTTTTTTATAATTATAGAAAACAATGAACTATAGAAAGTATACACCCTATAATAACTTTTCAGGAAGTATTAATTAAAAT